TTATATATAGTTAAATGTGCACACACAGATGCTCATTACAAGGAATCTCTGGCACTGATACAGTAAAAGTGCCTCAAATGTAGTGGAGTCTTGGCGTTGGCCGTCAGGCTGCCAGCCATGTGATTGGCTTGGGCAGCTCAGGCCCAGGGACAGGACATCTTTACCCATCACCTTCAGTACTGGTTGTTTCTGGCCTTTCTGGTCCCTGGAGAAGTTAGACACTGTCAGATAAATCTAACTGAGGGGTTCAGGAATGCAATTAAATTTGTGTATGTCTTCCAATGTAACCCTTCTTTACAGCTGCTTATGGCTTTGGGTTGGTGGCTTATATAGCTGAATCTGCTTGTTCCAGGTTCTGCCAAGAGCCAAGGCTGTAGTGGCTTGTGCCTTATCAGTTTTTTTGTAAACATCCATTTTCACTCTGGGAACAGGTTGACATTTTTGGATAGCATTTCCTCTGTAGACAGGAAATCGTCTTTTTTATTTCTATAGCACCAGTGCTGAGATCCAAATTTCTGGCCACTTTCTGCCATTAAGTTTTCATGCCTATGCTCAGTCAGGGGGGTAGCCAGCCTAATTTTTTGGGAGGAGTTTAAAAAAGTAATTAGAAAGAAGAACTGCAGCTGATGGGTGGGTGGTTTGTAGTCCTTTTTATCCTCAAGATCCCAACTAGTCTTCCAATTTATATATAAATCTAGACCTTATCCCCCTACTCTGTAGTGGCAATTACCTTGGAAGTTTCTGCCTATCACCAAATCTTCAATAGCGTCAAATCATAAAGGATATGTGGTATTTTCATTGCTGTGCTATGTTGAGCAATCTTTGCTTTTTCCAGTTCACTAAAATTTTTTACTGTGTCGATCTATTGAATTTACACATTATTCAGTTGATTTTCTGCAGTGTTGTCTAAAAGGCAAAATCACACAGACTGTTGTTCAGATTTTTGCTCCTAAAAATACTGTATGGTAAGAAATAAAAGCTTTCAGTAGTTAACGTATAACTCCAGCCAGGCCTATTCTCTCTCTTTTTGTTTACTTGTAAAACAGTAGAAAAGGGTTAGCAGCTCTGTCAACTCCGAGATTAAATCTCCCCATCGGAGCCACAAACAGCAGTAACACCTGACAGAGATTCTTAATCTTACCCACTCCAACCAAAACTATAAAGATTTGCCTGTAGATACTCTTTAAATATTTATTTAATGGGGGAAATAAATGATTCCATAACATACCAGCAGTAATTGCAATCTTTTACGGTTCCCCTCCCTTGGAGCAACATCCCTTAGAACATATGCTTACCTAAACTTCAGGGATAAGGAGATTTTTCCCATCACTGTACAGTTGTTTCTTCAAAGTCTACCTATATGATCAGTGCACCAATGTGCTTTCCCATCACTTTTCCATTTATTTCAGCAGAAGCCCCATCTGCAAAATTTCTGTTGACACTATTAGATTATTTGTACCATATGCTTATGCTAAACAATAAAAAAGAATTCTGGGTATTTTAATTGTCTATACAATGCCATGTCAGGAGACTGTGGTGTGCTGGGATTTGAGGAGC